TAGTTTTTTCATTACTTTTAATAAAATGATAACTCCTCATATCACCTCAAGATATCTCTACTAGGATTTTCTTAATGGACCAAGATCCCATCCATCTGGTTATGGCCTTGAGTATGCTCAACAAACCATGATAATTGGATTAGGTAGGTAACTGAACTTATCAATTGTATTTTTAAACAACTCCTAGATCAGTTAGGTGACAACACATTGCCTAAACATATCATATATGTTTTTCTTAGCCTTTGCCTCTAGTTTCTATAATAATTAAGTTTCCAAGCATTCGAATTTTATGAAACTCGTTGAGTAAGACCCACCAATAGATCAAACATACTCATGTAAAAATGTGACATTAAGTGTACTGAACAAGTCTCCGATTAAAAGAACAGTTACATTATCTTGCTATATGGTGGAAGGCAACTTGGTCATGCATGGCATTTGACTCAATATATAGTAAGGGATTTTGTTTTTGATTTTATTGAGGTCTCATCTTTCCATGCATAGCATTTATTAAATCACATAAAATAAATCTATCACATGCAACTTACTTTGGATAATTATAGACTTTAATTATACTAATCTCCTTCAGCCATAAAAGGAAAGTAGTTTGGTTAAACTTAGGGGATTACATATAAGAATTTTCAAATGTGCTTGTCTTCCTTGGCGCCTGAGATTTCTATCATCAATTTTTCCAAAATTCAATTCCTAATCTATCCTAATTCTGATTACATTTGAATGTAGAAACCTCAAGTTAAATTAAAGGGGACCAAAATGAGGAAAGAAGTTTATAAACTAAGATAAAGAGATAAGGCAGGACACGTAGGCCTTATTTAAAAAATACCAAGAATATACATTCAACTATAGTGCAATCATATTGGGACTAAGTCAATAATCATCCACAAACATCCATCAATATAAATATATATATGTTTATTTATATAAAATTTAAAACATGTCTTATTCAAATTGCTAACTATTTGAGGTATGTGAGATTAGCAAGTTTTCATTATTTGACTTTGTCAATTTCAAAATTTGAAGTAACCATTTAATTTTATATATGGAAACTTCTTCCATATATGATAAGTGTTACTGATCAAAATTAGTAATTTATCAATTCCTAATCTTAATAGGATTAGAAGAAAATTTTATTATGAATTAAAACATTTTTGATTTGTTGTCCTAAACATTTTAGTGAACTCTTTTACTAATCCAATTTAATTAAAGATTGTATGTCTTCTATTACCTAATCTTCATTAGGTAATTTACATTAAATCTAAGACAAGAAAATATTTAACATAATCTTAGTATCTTATTCAAACCTCTTTCCTTAATTAAAAGAAATTTATTCATGATGAAAGACTTGACTTGATTTATTTTTTACTTCCATAATTCTAGGAATCAAATTCCTTAATTATTGGTATCAACAAAAAGATTTTCAAATATCCTTAATATAAGGAATCAAATTCATTAATTCAAATATCTGAATTTATTATCCTCATAGAACTATTTTCATAATTATTTAATCAGCTTTTGAATATTATTGACTCACATAACTTTAAGAATCAAATTCCATGATTTAAGGGTGTCATAAATTAAATCCTGACATCTTTTATTTAAGAAATCAAATTCCTTAATTCTAATTATGTCAAAATTATCTTTTATGGACCCTTTCCATAAATCTTCAAATAGTCTCTCCAAAATTGTGACTTTTTGCTGCTGATAGCAGCAATGGTGCAGTTATAGTTCTATGCTTTAAAGCAGCTCCAAATCAGGGAGTTTAATCCTTATTTTTTTTTCATGGTCAGCTAACATATGGAGCCTTTCTATATTAATTATTTATAATTTTTGGAAGCCAATAATCTGCCCAAAAAATTCAAAAGCCATGACATATGTTTGTTGGACACAGTCACATTTTCAGCTACTTAAGTGGCATTGACAATGTGAAAATCCTAGGGATCAAATCCCTTGATTTTAAACTTTGAATTGTGGCAACATTTAAACTTTTTCAAAATTTAAAATTTTAGCAAATAAGTGTAACTAATTGCACAAATTTAGGCTCTTTTAAGTTGCCAAAATTTGTCAAAATGGTGGCCTAAAACAGCTATTGGCAATGGTAGTTTTAGCCATGATTTTGTGGCTATTGCACCACCATTCACCTTTTGCCAACAATCCCTCTTGGAACTATTCTAAAGTACATTGCTTCCATGATATTTCTAGAATTTTTAGGGCCATTAGATGCCTTCTTAATACTGAAAACTAAACCAAAACAACTATTGGATATAATCGAATTTTGGCTCTTAAACTACACTAAAACATCATGAACTTGAATCAGATTTTGTGAATTTATGTTGGGCATCTTAATCTAGCCAAATCAGGACACTAAAACTCATATTACTATATCCAAAATTTACAATTCAGTAACTAAATTTGCCTAGAAAATTGAGACAACTCCAAAATAAATTTTAAAAAAATTTAAATCCATACCAACTTAAACTTAAACTCCTAATATCAAATATAAACATTGGATCAACAATAATGAGATGTCATTTGTATTAAAACGAGCTAAGAAAGGCTCTGATACCACTGTCGGAATGGCATGAAACTTAGAGATAACAATTATCGTATGCAATGGAAGATAAAAATTTAAATGTATCATGCCATGCTATCACCCTTGGATCACTTTGGTCATTTTAATACAAACAAAACTAGAAGAAAAGTAACAAAAAAAATAACAATACCTTTACCAAGTGATGTGGATATCAAGCTGGAACTTCTTCATTGTCCAACCCATGAACACCACAAAGGGAATAAACAGCCTGAGGCATTCAAATACTTGGCCTCCATTGGTTGTATACATGATTGCACTTGAATCTTCACAAGAATGGTACGAAGCATGTCATCCATGATACATTTAGCAAGGTCAATACGACAGTCTAATTTGATGTTAAATAAGAACCAAAAGTCCTTTGTGGTGACAGTTGAATAGTTCAAGCTGTGAAGACGAATAGTGTGAGTGATGATGAGGTGCAAGACTTGATAAAAAAAATAGAGCCTTATGCAATTAGTATTGCCTCCATCATTTGGTGGAGTGTGGATAAACACCCACCAAAGGTCATTATTATCAAAGACATAGCGGAGATCTTTTCGAAGGGAAATAAGGTGAAAGACTCGTTCTATTAGGTCACGAGTAACAAGGATTTGTTGTCCCATGACATGGGTGACAAACGTATCGTCATGGTTCACTAGTTGACCTGTTTCTGACTTAGCATATTTTTGTGTTGCATTGAAGTAAAAGTTCTGAACGAAATTTTCATAGTATTTCCTATTCAATTGTAAATAATGTGTTTACCATAAATTTCAAAGTTCACAAGGTTAGGAAATCAATGGACTTTAAGTAATCAAAGTCAATTACATGTCCAGGTATTACCTTGCGTTTGGCGAAATTGGCGTTAAATTTTTCAACATACAATGGATGAGTGAAATTTTACAAAAACGAACTCACGACCGAGATTGAGGATGTTTTGGCTAGAGCAGAGCCACCTGAACCCCTGTTACCAATCACTTTTGTGCGTTATGTCTGTGACTCGTTTTCGGAATTTATGAAATTTGGAGGCTTAGGGTGTTTTGTTCTTAAACAATTCAGTAAAAATGTCGAGGAGGATAAGGGAAAGGATTTAATCAAGAGAATTTCCATCAAAACTCAAGGGAATCCAATAATTGGGGGGATTTAGACCTAGGGTTTTATGAAACCCTAAGCTAAATTTTTAGTGAAATTTAGAAGCAACACTAGATTAATTTGTGAGTTCGAGACCGAAAATAGTGAGGGAAACCCTTCAAATAGTTTAGAATCGAAGAAATTTACTATGAACTTGAGAGGATTTGAGAGAAAGATGGTTTTGGAGATTGCGGTTATGAGAACAAGGAAACGTCATGTATGCTTTTCAGTGAACAATCTATCGATAGATTTTTAAATCTATCGATACATGCCAGTTCGTCTTCTGATTAGTGTACACATCTATCTATAGATATTGATATCTATCGATAGATTTTTAACCATATATCGATAGATATTGTACCGAATTATAAGCAGCAATAGATATATTGATATATCAATAGAGGCTATCACGTGAACATCAAAGAATAATGTTTCACATTCCAACTCATGCAAAAGGGACAAAATTGAGTTTTTGATGAAGAAAAGGTCCAACAACATGATTATTGCATAATATTTTTATATTAGTCAAGTCATAATTCCAAAATACCATTATTATTTTTAATTTTAATAAGTTTAAGCAAAAATAGATATTTATGAATTTTTAAATATTTCAATATTTTAATAGATATTTAAAAAATATTATGTTTTTCTTTAAATGTTATTATTTATTATTTTAATTGCTTAAAATTAAAAAGTTAAATTTTATATTAAAAATTATAAATTTATTCAACTTATATGTTTTTTATATATAAGGGTAATTTTATCAATTTACATTAAATTTTTAGTAAAATGCTTACAAATCAAACGCTACAATGTAATCTTCTTAGCAATCACATTCCTTGCAATTATCACTTTCTGTTATTATACCAAACACTGTAAAATTATATTCCCAACAATCATATTCTCAACAATCACATTCCCAGTAATATATCAAACCTAACTCAAATGTGAAGTTATAATTACACTTTTTTTCATGTACATTTACATTTCACTTACTTTCGTTTCATTTGCATTCCACTTGAATTTTACATGCATTTCTCTAATTTACCCTTAAATCTTTTAATTTTTTTTATTTCAATTAAATCCTTCAACTATTTTTTTGACTTCAATTAGCTTTTATTATTCTTCTTTTATTTATACAATTACAAAATATCCATTTTACACATCATGAATTTATCATAATAATATTTAAATATATATATTTATACTATTATCATATTTAATCATAATTTTTTAATATGTATGTATTATGATGCATCTCATATGCACATTTCTACCAATCATACAAATCACAATCATTCTCAAAATTTGACAACAATCAAATCTCAAATGACCTTCCCGGTGTCTTTCTCAAGCATGTTATTAAGGTATGGGGTGTGACAATTTCTCGACGTGTGAGAGAACAATGGAATCGAAACTCTTTTATCACTGGAAAAGGCAGTCCACCCTTTGTTTTCCCCTTGAAGTAGCTGCCCTATATATGGAACTGAAACTCGCTTGCCTCCTCCGTTCTCGATTTGTTTTGTTTTGTTTTGCTTTGCTTTGCTTTCCGGGGGCTCGATTAGAGGCGTCTCCGCCGCCGCGCCGTCGCCATTCCTATTCCATCTGGTAATTCCGTCTTCCTATAAACCTTCTCTTTCAATACTGTTTTCAACCCAGAAATGAGAAGAATTCGTTTTGCATGTCTATCTGCTCTTAAATCTGCAAACTCCTTTCTCTGCCAAAATAGCCCAATTCCCACAGCTTTATCTAGGGTTGCTCGCCTGCCCATCAATCCCCCTTTTGGGGTTGCCGCATTTTGCTCGAATACAAGAGCATCTGATTCCGGTTTCAGTGATGTGGCCAAGTTCTATGCGACTATTATGGATAACTCTAAAGCATATGACAATCTGGAGAAATCCCTTGACCAACTTGAGCTCCAATTGGCTACTCCTTTGGTTCTAGAGCTTCTCCAAAGGCTTTCTCTCGAGGAGAAGTTAGCATTCAGGTTTTTTACATGGGCAGCCAATCAACATAATTATGCCCATCAGCCTCAAGCTTATAATCAAATGATTGACATTTTGTCCAGTACTAAGTATAAGATTAAACAATTTCGAATCGTTTGTGACATGCTTGATCATATGAAGAGGAGTAACAGGAATCCGGTCCCTGTTGATGTTTTGCTCCTCATTTTGAGACAATATACTGAAAAGCATTTGACGCATCTTCAGAAATTTGCTAAGAAGAAGAGGATAAGGGTGAAGACGCAGCCGGAGATCAATGCCTTTAACTTGCTGTTGGATGCCTTGTGTAAGTGTAGTCTGGTTGAGGATGCTGAGGTTCTGTTCAACAGGATGAAGACTAGGGTTAAACCAGATGCTAATTCTTACAATATATTGTTTTTTGGGTGGTGCAGAGTTAGGAATCCAAAAAGAGGAATGAGGGTTCTGGAAGAAATGATCCAGTTGGGTCATACTCCTGATAACTTTACTTACAATACTGCTATTGATGCCTTTTGCAAAGCAGGGATGGTTAGTGAGGCAGCTGAACTTTTTGAGTTTATGAGAACAAAAGGGTCGACCATGTCTTCTCCCACTGCAAAAACTTATGCAATCATGACTGTGGCTTTAATCCATGACAACAGAATGGAGGAATGCTTTGAGCTTATAGGGCATATGATAAATAGTGGTTGCCTTCCTGATGTTTCAACATACAAAGAATTGATTGAAGGGATGTGTTCAGCAGGGAAGATTGAGGAAGCTTACCAGTTCTTGGAAGAGATGGGAAACAAGGGATACCCTCCTGATATAGTTACTTACAATTGTTTTCTCAAGGTCCTTTGTGATGTTATGAAGAGTGATGAAGCTTTGAGGCTTTATCAAAGAATGATTGATGTGGGTTGTGTGCCTAGTGTGCAAACCTATAATATGTTGATTTCAATGTTTTTTCAGATGGGTGATCTTGATGGGGTGTTTGAGACTTGGCAAGAGATGGATAAGAGGGGCTGTGCACAAGACATTGAGACTTATTGCATCATGATTGATGGGCTTTTCAGCTGTAATAAAGTGGAAGATGCTTGTTTTCTTTTGGAAGATGTTGTAAACAAGGGATTGAAATTGCCATACCCGAGGTTTGACTCCTTTTTGATTCAGCTTTCAGCAATTGGTAATCTCCAAGCCATCCAGAAACTTTCTGACCATATGAGGAAGTTTTACAATCCTGCTATGGCAAGACGTTTTGCACTGAATGAAAAGCGGAAGAGTATGAGATTAAGAGGGAAGTAAGAATATATGACAGCATTTTTGGAACTTTTTCTTTCATCTTAGCTCTAGTCTCTAGAAGTGCCACATTGGATGGTAGTTGGGTACTGGTTAACTCTTTGGAAAGCTTTGAATGAAGAACAGCTAAGAGTTCACAAGACCAGAATAGTAGAAGGATGAGTTGGCTCCAAATGTATCGTGTCTATCGTAAAGAGCTTCAAGCGAGCTCTAACCTTGGACCACAATGTGATTCCACATGGTTGTTCTCATGATCTCTGGCAGAGCTATATAGATCTTATATACTGATTTCATCGGTGATACTACTGGTAATGCCCCCCAAAATTTGTACTATGAGTTGGATAACTGCAAGGAGTTACATTTTGGATTTATTTGTTTTCCCTTTTTTCTTTTCAATTCAGTTAAGGAACCAATATTTCAGAGAAGGAAGTTCAACTTGAAAATTTTGTCATGGCCAAAATTTATTCCTGCAAAAGATTCATGATTGATTCGACATCTATTCATATCTTTTTGAGCCATTGCTTATGTTGTCAGAGCTGGAGAGTGCTTTTTGCAATGTAAGTTAAAATGCATACCTTTTTTCTCTATTATGTCCTAGATGCCACCTTTTTGTTTGTTTAGATCTATTTAGCCTCTGTGTAATCACCTGGCATGTTGTATATTTTGCATTGTAGTAATAGTCTCGTGTCCACTTTATGCATGGAGAAGCTCAGCAGTTGTTTGTGGTAAAATCTTTAATCCTGCATTTTTTCCTGTCATTTCCTCATCTTGTGATGACTAATGAGTTGAACTAATCCCATTAGTGCCACTATTAGGCCAAGTTGTGTTAGAAATGATGCTAGCATACCCTTTGACTGAAATTTATGAAGAATGAGAAGAAGCTAACTGATATTGATGAAGAATGACAATAAGCTAATTGAGGGATTCAGCTACTTGAGATTTTATTTTGTTACTTTGTTCTATTTTGTGGGTTTAATTGTAATTTTCATAAATTTGAGGTTTTTCAACTATTTTGGTTATTTTATTTTAGTTAGTGTTATTGTAAGACCACTAGGTGGTGAGGTTTGTGGGAGTTTTCTGATCTAAATTCTTGATAAAACAAACAAAATTGAATAAAGAAAAGGGCAGAAGAGAAGAAATCCCTAAGCTTCGCACTTAGAGTTCCTTATTAGTCACACCAAAGGTTGATTGTATCACACAATGACGGGAAATATTGCTCAGAAACAGTACATGACTCGTATAGAAACCTAGCATCCCTAATCCTAAAAGAACTAGAATTCCTTTTCCAATTTGGATCCGGCTCCTATCTATTGAAAAGGTTCCATTTATGGGTAGATGTGGTGCCACATCATTAAACTTATAATCAGGGCCTGCAAGTATGCCATGTTATCCAACATAAATTGCAATTTGATTGTTCACAGTTAATAGGAAATTTATTTTCAAGTTTTGTCTCTTTCATAATTGCTTCTTATGAATTTGTTTTTTTTTTAAAAGATCCTTTAATGCTTAGTTACAAACCCAGCCTAAAGGTGAAAATAAGATTGTATAAGTCGCAAAAATTAAAAATTCTAAATGTTCAAATATATATATATATGTATATATATAAAATTTGCTGTAATTTTCATGCTTCATTCTGTTTTTTTCTTCCTGAAATCTCATCTGCAAACACCTGTACTTGGTAATTATATTAGGGTTTAGGATTTAGTTGATAAACACCTATATGATTTCAATTTCAGCAACCATTGATTTAATAAAATTTCTGACAATAATTTTCACACAAGCATTACACTTGTGACAAAGAAAGGCAAAGAAATTGCTTCTTGACGAAAGACTAATTGAACATTACTTACTGCATAATGGAGAATCTATACATTAAGAGTTTCTTGCATATTGATGTAATTTGGTGTTTTGGGGCATAAATTTTGAGTACGGAAATGGTTGCATGACAGAATTTTCTTGTTCTGTAGTACAGATTGTAATTCACAGTATTAACAATGTTAGCACTTCAGACTTGTCTGCAACGACACAAGATTTTGAGCTTAGAAGAAATGGAAAAGGACTTATTCTTGGATTCTGGGATAAATGCAATAACACAGTTGAACAATAGTAATTATGCTAATACTTGTGTGGATATGGTTGCCCAGGAGCCACATGACTTGTTTCTCTTTTTCACCCTGGTTTTTGTTTGTGTTCCTATATGACTGAATCTTGAAATGGTGATCCAAGAAAATAAGTAGTAATAAGAAATGACTGGCGGCAACTTTGCTATTACAGCTCCTTGGTGAACTAATCTCATTGCCAACAGCAGTTGTGATAGTAGTGGCAGATTTCTACTTCAACCATCTTGTAATAGACACAGCAACGGTTGTGACAGTTGTGGTATCTCTCTCTCTCTCTCTCTTTATAAGGTTTCTTTTAAGACCCAGAAGCTTACCAGGATGTCAGGGTTGGGCATGTAAATCCTCCTTTCTTTTAACAGATTTCTACTGCCACCATTGCTATCATGATGCAATCTGCAGCACAGATCCATGACTTTTTTTTTTTTGCATTTATTTTTGTAATGAATTTTACTTATAATAGAAGTTGAAAGAGGTGGAACGGGAGGGAGAAGGGCAGAGAGGAAGGAACCCATGGCCACTGATCTAAATAGAGAAGCAGAGGGAGAAGAGGATATGAAGAAGGTGAAAAGGAAAAGGGCAAAAAAGGGTCTTTAACTTTTTTTTCCTTCATGTTATTTTGTAATTGATGATTTCAATTATTTTTATTTCTTCTTTTTTCCCTTTTAATTAACATTTCAATTATATTGTGAAATTTGACACCTTAAATTTATAATTACTTCTTTTATTCTGATTTTTTTTGTCTCAAAGCTCAGTTTTGGTCTTAATTTTTTGGATCTTGGTGATAGTATATGAATGCCTTGGAAATCAATGACTGGGTTGTACTGAGATATTTTGTATTTAATATTTAAAATTAATTCAAAGGTTTTTTTTTTTTCTCATTAGACTTGTATATATATGAATATTTGATAGATTAAAGACTTCAACGTAGAAGTTTTAAATTTTGGATTTTTAATTTTTCAAATTTATTATCAATTTTTTTATGCTAAAAATTTTAAGGATATATAAATTTATCACTGCAATATACTTCAATGTGTCATTCTGTCTCTATATTTCAATACTTGTTTCAATTTATCTTACTTTTATTTTGATTCATATTTGATAAAAAAGACAAAGAAAAAGTATTTCCTAAAATATTTCACTTATTTGAACTATCTAAAACCATAATTATTATGGCGTAACATCTTAGAAAATAAAATAAAGTTTTTTTTATCTTTTTTAAGTTTTCGCAAATGAAGAAATTTTTTTTTAAAAAATAAATAATAAATTTTAAAAAATAAATAATAAATTTACCATATTAGTAAATTGTCGAGTTCCCGCCATTTTGCAGAAAGGGAGTGAAGATTTTCCCGCCAAAAGCAGCCGCAAAAGTGCAAAACCCTCCTCCCTTTGCCCAATCCCATTTCCGGGACAGAGGGTAAAGAGTGTAAGGAAGAATAAAACTGTGAAGCGAGAAAGAAAGGAAGAAAACAGGGGCGGCAAAATGAGTGGGCAAACTCGAAAGATGATACAGAAGAAGTTGAAGATCAGAGGATACAGCCTGAAGATGGATGGCCTTGAGGAAATTCTTTCCTTTGTTGATCGCTTCCAAGATGCCCAAGATGAAGCCATCGATCTCCTCCTCGATCAGCTCGATCATGAATCCCGTAATTTTATGATTCTGATTGCTATTCATTGTGATTACTGCTCCATCCCTCTTAATTAGGGTTTTTCTCTTTCTTTTTATTTAAAAAACATTATGAGTAATTGGATTTTTCACCGGAAGCAGTGAAATCTTCCATAATTGACAAGGAGGCGGTGCATCGAGTAATCAGTCTTCTACTGGAAGCAGAAGCAGCCGAGGAGGAATGCCCTACTTCTTCAACCTCTCTTTCCCATTCTTCTATTCGCGTTGTTGATGCCTTCCTCGTGCCCAAATTTCGATACGATCCCATCAAGAAGCATTTCTTTCAGTATGTAATGCTTTACTACACTTTTCTTTTTCTTTTCGAAACTATTAGGTTAGATTTGAATTCTAAAAGTTGTTTCATGTTGATAGACATGCCGGTAGTCTGCCGATCCATGGGGATGCCTCTGCGAAATCAACTCTGTATAGAGATAGGTTTCTTTTGTTGTTCCAAAGGGTTTCTCGTGATCAACATTTTATTAAACCCGCATTTGATACTGATGAAACCTCTCAAAATTGTCAGGTGCTCCCTCCTTTTCTTACTCTTCCTTGTTCTATATGTATACAGTGAAATGGAGTTAAATTTCAAAGTTTGTGTGCTCTAAACACCGAGCAAGAATTGATGTTTTCATGTGATAATATTGTTGGACAGCTATCTCCAATACAGTCTCTGGTTGGGCAAAGAGGGAAAAGATGGGTGATGGGTGTCATCTCGCAGCTGGAGGATGGGCATTTTTACTTGGAAGACCTTACTGCTGCTGTTGAAATTGACTTCTCTAAAGCAATATCCTTTGCTTAATTGCCTATCATATCTGCTCATACATTGGTTCTGTTTCATTAAATTTTTAACCGCTTCATAAAATCATTGTTTACTGTAAATCAAAGTGGAAAACAGAAAATCATTGTGTTCTTTGACAATCAATACAAAATAACTACAGGATTTTTCACGGAGAACACCATAGTTGTAGCTGAGGGTGAGATGCTTTCTGAGGGTATTTTTCAGGTGGGTGTTATTTTTTATTCTCTTTACAGGTGCTACATTCATGCTTTACTTTATGATGCCTCCAGGGAAAAAATTTTCCTTCTAAAACTTGTGTGTGTTCTCTGTCTTCTATCTTTTACAAAAGTTTCTGTATATAGAGCAATATATTTTTGGCATGCGTGTTGCGCACCATGTAATGATATTCATTTGGACTTTTATAAAGCAGTCAAAGGAAACTACCAAAGTTGACTCAAACAAGTTCTAAACCATAAAGGGAAGC